CGCTACTGGCCTCCCACCCGGATGCGGCGCAGCGCCCGGCACTGACCTCGATGCGCGCTTCCAGCTCGTGCACGGGGATGCGCCGGTTATAGCAGAGCATCTGGCGGCCGATGTCCTCACAGACGGGCGTCGTGCCATCCAGCTGCAGCAGCATGTTGGTTTTGAGCAGGTTCTTGGCGCGCTCCACCTCAAACTCCGTCACGTTGGTGCAAAGGCGCATCCACTCCTGCTGGATGTTGTACAGCATGTCCTGCCGGCGGCGGCGGCGGCGACAGCGGGAGGACAGTCAGCAGCCAGACACGCAGGGCCTGCCACCAGGCAACCGACAACGCATCGTGATCGGCAAACGGGCACGGCATGATCTCTCGCACCACTGATACCAGTACGCGCCCAGTCAGCAGTCAACAGAGGACGGCCGTGCCACCCACCTCCTGCTGGAGCGGCTCGCACACCCAGTAGATGCCCCAGAGACCGGTGTCTTTGTAACAGGTGTTGAACGACTGGAAGGAGTGGCAGAGGCCGTCGATGGCGGAGTTCTGCGCCAGCGTCGAGGCCAGGTTGGCGCCGCCGCCTTGCGAGCGGTCCCACGAGCCGACCAGTGTAGACGCCACCATCAGCGGGATATTATCCGGGTCCGTCCAGCCGCACCCCTCCACCGCCACGGCCACATGCGCCAGCGGCATTGAGTCGTCACGCACGCGCACCTGCGGCACACGGACGCACGACAAGCCGTCACCGGGGACTCTTGAGGCCTCACCGGCGCCGAGGCCGTCCCCGGTGCCGCGGAACATGCTGGTCCGCGGCCATGACCGCATCACGGGGGGGGGGGGGGGGGCACGTCAGCAGGGCTCCATTCCCAGGTGAGCCGGCCTCGCCAGTAAACAGACTTCCAGTTCACCACACAGTCGCGTGACCGGGTCAATCCGACCGCTCCGTCACCATAACAACTCGGTCAACAGTCCCGGCGCCGGGGTCGGCCACGCACACCACCAACCACCCGCCACCCCCGGAGGGGCGTGGACGCAGCGCGCCTTACGCATACCAAGACTGATGGGCGCGCGCATACTACTCAGCCTGGTGCACGTACCTCCGAACCGGTGAAACGGCAGGGCTCGATAGTGGGGATCTTGCCGTGCTCGTACTGGTAGGAGACGGACGAGAAGTGTTTCTCGGCTAGCTTCACCAGCTGGTCGTGATCGACGCCGCCGGCGCCGGCCAGAACCATGCGCGGCCCCTTATAGTGGTCCTGGATGTAGTCCATGAGGTCCTGCCGACTGATGGAGCTGCGGAAGGGAAACGGGCAAGTCAGCCAGCATCGCCGAATGGACCGAGGCGGGGCGACGCGACGCCATGGCCAACAAACGCATGGGCGAGCGAAATGCTTCCATCGTGCCATCCAGCCTGGACAAACATTATTCTAGCTGGTTTACGGACAATCGAACCATTACTGTGGACAAGCGTTCAGCGATAACCTGCGAACTTCTTCACCAATAATGTTTTGGCAGTCCCCGAATAATATTGAAATTGCCCACAGCATGCTTTCCAAAGCGCGTCTTTAAGGAAGCGGTAAACATCCCAGCCGTGCGGGCACGTCGACAATTAGCCAGAGAACGTTCCATATTGCGCAGACGGTACGTCCACCGCACCATTGGTAACTCCATCACGAACACTGCACCGCGAGATCGCCAGCACCCGGCGCCTGACAGCGGGCAGCCGCCGGCGCCGTACTGACTTGATGTTTTTGGTCGGCCCGAGGATGGTACGTCCCAGCGGCGTGCCCTGGAAGGCGACGGCGTGCAGGTGGTCGAACACCACCTCCTGCAGGTTCATCTCCACCTCCTGCATCTCGCGCAGGATCACGCCGCGCTCCCGCTCGATCTCCTGCGGGGGCGCGCCCAGTGCCGTCAGCTGGCGCCATACCACACGCCGGCGGCCGCAGGCGGGCGTGCCGACACAGCAATGGCCGAGGCAGAGCGTCGACTCCGGTTTTCAGTATGGCTACTGACGCCATAATGCCCCGTGACAGGTACATGCCTCGTTGATAAACGAGCTAGACCACTTGTATTATTACCCTCACGCAGTACAGGAGTATTGCGATCAGATGTAACTCTGAAGCCGGGTGTTCAAATACGCTGACCAAGCATGATCGAAGCTTTATTGTCAGCCAAACGGAACAAACAGGGAATCAATTATGTGAAAATCTGTATCTGCAGACTTGAGCCATTGAATAATGCACGTCATTTCACCATACGTGTTTCCTCTATCGCCCTGCGTCAATCAGCGTCGCTGCCGCGAAAGAAGTATTGCAAAAGCGAGGCCGTCTCCAACGACGCAACTGCCATCCCAGCGCTCTCAATGATAATGTCGCCTTCTGGGACACTCCATTCCTGTCTTAAAAAGCAAACAAAGAAATGACACCTAAATGGCAGCAATGATCTTATTCACGGACCAACTGCTTTGGTCTGAAAAATCATTAGTGAATTCAATACAGGCACACGTTACTTTACCCGCTAAGTAGAACAGAGAAGGAGGCTTCAAGGTCCGGGGGAGGGGGAGACTTCCGCCAAAACGTTAATGAGACCTGCCCGGAGAATGCCTGGCTCCCGACCCTAAAAACACAAATCGTTACGCTCGGGCAATCCATGAAACCGGCTCTCGCAAATGGGATTCGTCTGTCAGACGCACGGAAGTTGCCCCTCCATGCAGTCGGCATCCCGTAGCCGGCGCAGCCTAGCGGCGTCCGCGTCCGCAGACGCCCGGCCACGACCGCCCACCTGTTCGCCGAACTGCGAGTTCTGGATGATGTCCGAGAGGATGTCGACAGCGTTGCCGATGTCATCCTTGAAGCACTTGGCGTAAAAGACGGTTTGCTCGCGCGAGGTGTAGGCGTTAAGGTGGGCGCCCATGTTCTCCACCTGCAGCTCCAGGTCGGTCTGCGAGCGCTTGGAGGTGCCCTGGTGGCGCGGCGGCGGCCGGTCAGAGCAGCTCGCGCGACAACAGGGGCGCCACCCAGCAGCCTCACCCTCGACCGAGGGCCGACGACGCCGCCGTCGACAGCCGGACGCTGCTGCCGATATCGACGGCCCGATGCGCCCCGTATTCCCAGCTGGTGTAGCCGTGACTACATGCGCTAGCCAAACGTAGCATGGCCACGCCTGAGGCAGGACGGAGCGACCAGGGCTGTGGGGCTTTGGCGCGGGACCTCACTGGTCGCGTCGTCACGCCTGTTCGGATGGACTCGTCCGGCTGCTCTGTGATCTGGATCCACGCGAATATCTGGCGCACTTGTACGGAACATTTCAACATTACGGAATCATCCTGAAACATCACGTGTTATGACAACAAAATGACAAACTCCCCCTCTCCCGCCTGGTCACTAATAACACTGGGCATGGCGTCAAAATAAGACAGGATCATAACCTACCGCCCACACCAGTCGCTGCAACCCATTTTTCCAGCCGTTCACAATCAAATTCCAGACGAGCAGTAACGATGAATTGAAACATAGATCATTTCGAATTCACTAATTTCATCGACCAAACATGCCGCTAGCCTGGTCCCACACCAGCCACTATCCAAACGAAGTCAGGTGCCGCGCCGCACACCAACGCTAGACATCGGTGTGGCCCTGCCGGCTGAAGCCCTGAATGAGAAACATTCCACAGCACTGGCATCACCCACTCGTATGGTTTTACTACGGCAACGCTTTGATTCGCTTACGTCCTGTTATCACCTAAATGGCAGCAATGCTCACATGCGTTACCACCTAGCTCTACAAATCCAACAAATGCGCCGCGCCGTGGCGTTCAACGTGTACACTGTTGTCGTCGTCGTCAGCTGTTGCAGACTAGATGTGTAAGTTTTGACACGCGACAGCTGGTTGGCTGAATACAACGCACTCAGGTGGGGATGAGGGTGGGGGAATCCACAAACATTGTGGATTCCAAATGAGAACCTATGTGATATGCTCAAAAAAATCGGAGAATTGTGAGAATCTACAAAAAAACAGACGACAAATTCAGATGTAAAGATGTAACGTCTTTAGGTCGTCACCTCCACGTCGAATAGGGCCAGCCAACGTAAACTCATCAGTGGCTGAATTGGCCGTAGACTCCCTACCGCAGCCAGCTGTAACCTAGATACGTTTTCAATACACAAGGTTACTCGGAGCTCTATCAGGTCCGTGACCTTACATGACAAAAGACAAAAAGGATATACAAAATCCCAAATGATTTTCATATTTGACTTTCTTTTATAAATAAGCGTCAAGAATGGCCACAAGTGGTAGGTTCTTCAAAGCAAAGGGTTGGTTGTGGCCACTTTATGTCAATGACGCCATCGGAGTGAGAAGAAAGTCAAAATTAGTAAACGGCCGGCAACCCTGTGATCAGGGAATTCAAAATGAAGGTACAAACGCACCCGACAAAGCGCTTTTTATAATAAAACAGCTGATTCGTTCTGACCTTGACCTGACCTTTGCGCATGAAGAAAGGCCGATGTATCTAGATGTAATCCTAATTTCGATCGTTTTAAAGTCTAGAAAACACTTCAATATTGTATGAATTCGTTTCACACTCTGTTGACAAATCAGCTTAGAACTTTCCCTAAAAAATCACCTTCGCTGAGAACCACGGTCTGATGTTGACTTGCTGCAGGTCAGCGACCTTAAAGGCCATGTTTGGCATTTGAAGATACTAAAGCAAGCATCAGATATGATGGAACAGGTTCACTTATAACTATTCGTATACGTTTCAAAGTGCAAAAGACTGCCGTAGACAGCGCAATTCTGTCTAGTAAATATGTTCCTCAATGCGACTCGGTTTGATAACGTCATCGTAACTTGCACAACATTGATTGAGAGCCAACTGACGACCGTTATACGCGGTAATCGCGCTCACGAGCGCAATATATGAGTGACTTGACCATTATATTTTAATTGGCGTTGGTCGCCGTGAAATGGCAGGACCTGAATCACGCTACTACGGCGTCATAAATGTCGAAAGAACTTTGAAATACTCTCCCCGATATGCCTTTCTTCATTTTCGCGGGCGTATAGCTCAGAAACTAGAAACTACCCGTTATCTGTAAATCGCGCTAACGAACGCCAGATATGAACGACTGTAACATTATATTTGTAATGGTACTGGTCGCCGCATGCCTTATGGAATGGCATGATTTGAGTGACGCTCTTGTGGCCTCATGGATGTCAAAGTCACTTTGAAGCACTCTCCCGGATATACCTTTCCCGATTTTCGCAAGCGTGTGGCTCAGAAACTATAGGTACTTAGGTCTTCAGGACTGTGACCAGGACCTAGAGACGTTCAAGGCGATCTTCAGATTTCAGTTCAAAACCTAGTATAAATGTGGAGGGCTCCCTTTGAAGGAAATAGTCCGCACAATCACCAACATGTGCAGACTATTACTGGGAGGTTATAGGTCACCCCGGCATCCATGACGCCGTAGCGTCATTTCAATTTTATCATTCCAACGCCATGCAGCCATCAAGGTCAAGAAAAACATCATTATTGAGTCGTTCATACCTGGCGTTCGTGAGCACGATTTTCAGAACAGCCGTCAATTGCCTCGCGATCAACGTTGTCCACGGTACAATGACCTTATCAAACATCGACGCAGTGAAGAGCATATTACTACACAGAGATACTGTGTTGTCTCGAGCAGTCTTTTCCAATGACCATGTAAAACAATCGTTTTAAGTGAGCTCATTTTATCATATATGGTGCCGCTCCAATATTTTTACGTGTGGAACATTCCCTTTCAAATAAATACATTTTTGGACCACAATATCAGCTATTCAGTCGTCAACAGCAGCTAACAACAGAACCTGACACAGATTCTGTAGCCACCCTCTACAGCGTGAACGGGTCCTTACTCGCGCGGTGTTGAAACAGTTTTAGCCACATAACGGTATTCAGTTGTTTTTATTCCAGTTATGGGGATACGACAGCTCACGATCCTGGGTCCCTTGATGGTGGCATTGGAGTGAAACCAGCACTTCAATCCCACCTACTGATTGGCTATTGGAACCGCCAACTTGATTAGCACGGCTCGTCGCGCTATAATTGAACATTTAAGTGAGCAGCAATCACTGTCCACTCTAGCCGACTGCCGCATCTTGCAAATTAGTAACTGTAGATCACCTGTGCGGTGCACAACAAGCGAGGATTGGTTAGAGACTACACTTGATTAAAGACACCGCCATCGCATCCCAAACATACGCCGGCATACCCAGCTTTTAGAATTCGTAGAGGGCACGGTAGTACATTTCTGAAATTATAAAGACCAGACCGGTTTCCTTCAGGTCCTTCGGCAGGTAACACATCACCATGTGAGCACATAGCAACGATACGTTCCCTGCGCCTTCCGCGGCGTCGTTGCGGCGGTGGCCTTAGAAACTCCAGGGGTAGGGTAAATCCGTAACATGCTTAAGCATCTCACACAATGGACAACACGTAGGGTTAGACACATATTAAAAAGAGAAAAAAGCACACACGGGCACTGGCGCTAAACAAAAGTGCACACAGTGTCTGGTGAATACTTTAGGAACTGCGCGGCCGTGTTCTGAAGCGGTCGAATATGTTCGCGGCAATGGTGAGAACACTGCGAATCAAGAATGCCATACCTCGTCACCATATTCTAATAAAATTGTTTCCTCATGCATCACAAAACAGGATGTGCTTGAGGTGAATATATTCCAGCTGGTGTTTCAATCACCTTTACAAAGAAATAAGTGATATTAAAACAACTAAGCAAAATGTTGACCTCCGCAATGTTTGAAATTGTTGGTCCCGTCTGTGGTTGTAAGCCTTGTTCGATACATTACAACGTGTCTGGCTACAGCTGGCTTCACACCCACCCACACCCACACCCACACCCACACCCACACCCACACACACACACGCACGCACGCACGCACGCTCACGCACACCCACATCCACACACACACCCACATATATATATATATATATATATATATATATATATATATATATATATATATATATATACAAGTATGTGCATTTAGGAATCATTCCGATTGACCAGAATGACATTCAAAATTGGCAAGAATCAAAGAGACCTTGGTGAGCAACGGTTTTTCAAAGTCTGACGTGTACCACGGAATACGACATGAAAACGGCACGACACGTTGACGATAAACCAACATAACAAACAACCAGTCGTCCAACTGTATCATGAAAATCCAGTTACATCTGCCTGCAAACAAAAAGAAAAAGCTATACAGGGAATCATTTCTCGACACGTAAGAGACAGGAGTGACTAGACTACACATTGTCATATATCCTCTGCATAGGAAAATCGCTGACTCTCTTAAGAGAAACAGCCTTGGCAAACCTGACAACCTTACATGCACCAATGTAGGGTACCCATTCCAATGCAATCTCAAAGACTGCAAACTTCATTCCACACACTACAATGGCGCAAACACGACACTCTCACGACGTCTGGCGATTGACAGCACTGGCAATCTTCAGACGTACGCTCTCTGCAGGATTGTGCATTCTCCAAACCAATGCTTGCATGGCTCTTGAGTTGTTAGCCGGTGGGCGGTAGCTACTGTACGTGCGATAGCTACTGCGGGCGGTAGCTACTGTACATTGTATTTTTGTCTTTGTAGAGTTTTCATTACGGATGCATTTGACAAGTATCCAGGTAACGATAGGAATGTTTTGTTCTCTCCGTACTAAAATATCTCATTGAACAGCAATGCACAAATTTCGTCATTAAAACTCAAAACTTATTATTTTGTCACTTATATATCACACACTCCGACGATTGCGTAATGCCTTAAAACGTTATAATGTACAGATATCGACAAGAATAGGAGTGATTTTGCGCGAACAATACTTTATATCAATACTGTTACAATGCTGCAACAATAAATAACAATACTGCTAAGCCGAATGCCCACAACTTCGAAGGATGTATCAAGAAGCTTACCAATGCGGAATCAGCGGCCGTTTTAATCCAACATGAATAAACGGACATGTTTTGCTAACACATGCCAATATTATATATATAATATATATATATATATTATATATAGAGAGAGAGAGAGATATATATATATATATATATATAATATATCTATATCTCTCTCTCTATCTCTATATATATATATATAGATATATAGATTATATAATATTATATATATATATATATATATATATATATATATATATATATATAGAGAGAGAGAGATATATATATATATATCTCTGTGTGTGTGTGTGTGTGTGTGTGTGGGTGTGTGTGTGTGTGTGTGTGTGGTGTGTGTGTGTGTGTGTGTGTGTGTGTGTGTGTGTGTGTGTGTGTGTGTTGGGTGTGTGTGTGTGTGTGTGTGTGTGTGTGTGTGTGTGTGTGTGTGTGTGTGTGTGTGTGTGTGTGTGTGGGTGTGTGTGGTGTGTGTGTGTGTGTGGGTGTGTGTGTGTGGGTGTGTGTGTGTGTGTGTGTGTGTGTGTGTGTGTGTGTGTGTGTGTGTGTGTGTGTGTGTGTGTGTGTGTGTGTGTGTGTGTGTGGTGTGTGTGTGTGTGTGTGTGTGTCTTGTGTGTGTGTGTAAGACATTGTGTGCGTGCGTGCGTGCGTGCGTGGTGCGGGCTGTGCGTGCGTGCGTGCGTGCGTGCGTGCGTGCGTGTGTGCATGTTGTATGTATGCGGGGCCAAAAACATATTACATAACCCGAGCCGCGCCACACAGCTCATCAGCTGGACGACCCGCGTCATGGCTCCTACATTTCAGTAGGGGTGCACACGAACAGACATTAAGTTTGCCTCCGCTGCTGTCTTACGACAGCCCGAAAACAAAAAACTTCCGACAACTTGCTTATTTGCTGATGACAGATGCACCCGAGTTTAGAGGGACTCAGCCTAACAGAAGCACCGTTAGCATGCACTTAGTCCACTAAATGCACACGTAAATACTGGGGCTTGCACTTGAATTGGTGAGCGTTGTCTGGATTTAAACATCACGCATGCAACATGGGCGGTGATAACTGATGGGTCGACACGGGCTCGAGACAGTGACTACCTGATCTGTTGAGCTTTCAGGTGAAGAAAAAAGAGCATCTTAAAGCCAAGCCGTCCGTTACTCCTGCTGAAACTAAAATTTGTCAATCAAGCCAGTTTTAAGACTTGCTGTGCGTTTGCCAGCCCCTAACGCTCATGCAGTAACATTTCCGTTACAATGGAGCGTTTTTATGTGACTATCTAGGCGATTAGGGTTTATCGACCCATGCTTTAACGTTGTTATTTCGTTAAAACACTCACCCACCCTAGAGGTGAGGTCGGTAACTTGAAAATGTGTTGAATAGTCGGCGTAAAAACTCCCAACCAGCCATGCCGGCATGCCTAGCTCCCTACTTTGCCGAAGAACCAGGAGCTCATGGCATCATAAAGATCGAAAACACACCTGGCATCAAATACACCCAAGGCCTTCATGTTTCACCACTACAATAAAAAAAACATGGAAATATGATTGCGGCTTCCGGCTTTTAGCATTGCTCGGAGAAAGCTCTAGTGGTAATCCCGCTCAGAGCCCCTTGAAGCAGCGCTGTTTGTGTTCAAAGAGTGGCAGATCAGATACTCAACATGTCAGAAACAGACAGCAGCACACACACACACATACAGCAGCACACCTTTGAAACCGTTAACGTGACGGTGGTTCACTTTTGCACTCGTAAGCGCCCTGCAACACATTACAGCCTCGCTGCGTTTGAGGCTGCAGCTGTAGTCACAAGCGTGTCACACTTTGCTGATGCATTGACTGTGGAAGCCTTCGACTGAGTAAACCCATGACGAGTGATGCTCAAACAAAACAGGTGGCATCAGGTGACCATGACCCCCTCACCATCCCACTAGCCTTATCTATATATCTTTGCACCTTGTTTGGGTTTTTGTTCTCTTCTTATATGCCAGAATCCTCACATGACAGGCACTGTAAGCTGTAACGCACGCACGCCTCTCCCCCTCCCCCCCCCCCCCACACACACAATATTTTTCAAATGCAATTCTAGTTAACCGTGACCACCAGGAATGTTAGAGACCAGGTGGTACATCATCCACAGTTACCCACGACATCCGGGCATGGGATGCCCACCTAGGTGGGCGCCCCATGCCCATGCCTACTCCCAGAAAACCTGGCCTCCCTGCCAACATGTCGTGCTTACCTTGAACGCCATGTGCTCGAGGAAGTGCGCGACGCCGTTGTTGGTCTCGGTCTCGTAGCGGGAGCCGGTGTCGACCCAGAGGCCGACAGTCGCGGTGGGCGCGCCGCTGTCCTCGGTAGCCACGCGCATGCCGTTGTCGAGCACGGTGACTCGCGTGGGCGGCGTGTTCACCAGCGTCTGCTCGAAAGCAGCAGCAGCGGCCGTGCTGCGACAGCGACGCGGCAGCTGCGGCGGAGCGCACGTGCCATCCGTCACCACGGCGGCCAGCGTGCGGTCCGCTACAGCGATGCCAGCCGACCAACGCCACCGCAGTGCCCGTCGCTTTCGGGTCGGAAGCACGCCACTGACCATCACCAGCATGACAGATCACTGGGTTGTTTAGTTTACCCAGTCTACCTGGCCTCAGCAAATTGAAGGTCTGAACAAAACCAGTTTCACGCATAACTTGCCTGTAGCTATGTTCCATGCGAGATGCATCTGTTAACCATTACACAAGCCAGGCAGTAGAAGCCATGGACATTCATGAGTTGTGATTGCCTGTTGTGGGAGTCAGGACTCAAAACTACACATACTGCAAGACTAAAGGCTTCAAACCCACGATTTAAACCTGAATTTCTTCTCAGGATCTCCTCATGCTAGTTGTGCATCCTAGTGCTCACTTGCTTCCAAACCATTTCTAATTACTGTTTTTCATGTTGGCACAGCCCAGTACAGTCTTTTATTGCCATGCTCTGCCCTGGAGGAAGCTGTGGGCTTATTGTTTCAAGAATTTGCTTTACACCAGAAGTAAACAGACCTATGAATGTAAGAGATAACATAAATGATCAATGTAAATGATAATGATATGTATGGGAAGATAAGGGAATCATGAATATAAGACAAATTTCATAATGCTCTATCAAAGTAAAATCACAGCTATGATTATACATGCCTAAAACACTGCCCTGCTATCCTATTTCTGTGATGTGGCATGTTCAGAATCACCAGCTAGAAATGGCTTGAGAATATGAAAATACTGAGAAAGGGTAAACATAGCCTATTGAATCCAGTTGTTGAAATTGGTCCTATCCAGATGGTATGCAAAGTCTAGGAGACCATACAAGACGCTTGAGGTAGGTACGATCCCGCCCTAAATGGGGCAGCCAGATTCTGTGCTTGGGAAGCTGTCTGTGATCTGATGACCAGGAAGTCTTCAAGATTGTTCAGATGATTTCACTTATATGCACCAGTTCTTGCTTCCTCATCACCCCAACATTGATATGTTCAAAAAGGGCCAAATTGTACTAGATTTGCCATCCAACATTTTACATCCCACCTTTCTCAAATTTGCAGCATATTATAATGCATCCAGTGTTTTGCCATACAAACAATAAAAGCATACAGCTTCAAAGCCATCATACTGATAGCTAACTGATCTGGCATGTGGTCATTCTCAGATAGCAGGTGCCTTATTTCAGCACAAGAAGAGGAAGCTGTCATGCTTGCAAAAAATACAATTATCTGAGCATCGGCCATTCATGTACTTGGTGGATCTTTGGCTGCATGGGCTTCCCAAGAAGTTTGGTGCATGTCAGCACCAATATCAGGGTACAAAGAGTCCATGTTTCAAGGATTATGATATCATATATCTAATTTCATAACATTTATTTTCATACTCCCTCATAGTTTCTACAGAACATGAATTCTAACTGCACAGCAATTTTTCCTGGCCTGAGTTGGGTCTAAAGAAGCACCATGTTCAGCCCGCAGAGTGAATATCCCTTAGCAGTCCAGCACAGTCAATGGAATTTTGTTGACAATCAATGAAAAATTATGCTTAATTTTTTACCAAATATCAAGAGAAATGTTTTCAGGGTAAGTTTGACTGAAATCACCCTTACAGCATCTTACTTTCTGGGGACATTGGCTCTCCATGCTCTGAATGGTTGACTGTTCATCTGACTCTGAGCTTCAGAGCAGTGTGCACCTTAGCAGTTTGACCACAAGGTATCACAAAATGCCACAGAATGACATGAGCTACCCGAAATGATCAATTTCTGCAATCACTCACTATATCTGAGCACTTAGATTATTTACA